CAGTCATCTGTAATTTAACTCTATCCTCCAGGGCACAGATGAGGTTATGGGAAGCAGTATTTCAAGGTCAGTGTGTGAGAAGCACCCTCAGGCTGTCCTTCCAACAATGAAGTGCTTGCTGTCAGAGTCCCAGAACTCAAAATGCACCAACTGAAACCCAGCACAAACCAGTCAAAGAAAGATGATTGAGGAAATATTAAACATCTGTCCATTTCATGCTTGACAGCTTTATTTCACTGAAACCATCTACACTGAGTGCAAAGTAATATCACTAATACTTTGTCTCTTATCTTAAGCTTTCCAAAGTGAGTTAAGAATATTTAGTTGGTTTTTATTAATTGAATAGGACAAAGCACAAGGTCATCACTTCTGGCATCCTTTGTTACTTGGAGGATAAGCAAAGGACACTGGAAGTTTGCATAGACAATTCCATCTGTGGAGTTGCCATTCCTACAAATTTATAGCTTATGCTGAACTCCCCATTAAAGAACAAAAGAATATTTCCTTGGCTCATGCAAAACAAGAAGGGCCGCGGGTTAAGGTGAACAGATGCTTTCAAGGAGACCTCAGTTCTCTAAACCCTGACCTACTCAACTGGCAGGTCACATGCTCGCCGTCAGCGCAAAGCTCATTTTCAAAATTATAGTCCCAATGTACTTTCTCTTTCCCCAGGTTATTAAAAACTGCTCCTTTAAAGATAAAGTAGTCTATTTTAAGGGCTCTGTTCTCTTGTGCAACTAAAAGTAGAAAAATGAGCTTAGGAAGCCAGGCTTGAAAGGTAGCATAGTGATCATTTAATCTAGCTTTGCACCACATAGGTGGGGATGGGAAGAAAATAGATATCTCGAACTTGGAATGAACCTTCTTCCACCAGATGCTCAAAGTTGAATTTCATTGTTGGTGACATTTGCATGGTTTTGAGAAGCTTAAATGCACTTCTACATACTTATAGATGCAACACATCAGTGTTGGACACCCTCTGTGCTGGGCTCTGTGCCTCCAGCACTGGACAATGGTCATACTTCCTAAGCGAATGGGATTTAAGTTGGCCAAGAATGGAGCATAGGGGTGGAGAGAGAGAGAAACTATGGGTGGCCACATTTTAAATGTCCTGAAGTGAAAATCATGTTTCTGTCGATAGCGATAGCGGAGAGAATTTCCTTTCCACATAGAATGAAAATATTTCTACGTTCAACATATCCCTTTTTGTTTCCAATAGTAACAAACAATGGTATTAGATTTTATTCTGTCACAAGTTAGGTCACTTTATTTTGCGCTAGACTTTTTATCTGTAAACTAAGAGGTCCATCACATGATTGCTTAGATTTCCTTTTCCCTTTAAGACTCTTCATTAAGAAAGGTCTTGGGGCGTTACTACACTTGTGTGCTTTCTCTCACTCTGTCCAGCCCATAGAGGGGCTGAGAGTTTAGATTCTGTATCTAAAAGATCTCCTGGTTCTTGTGGTAGAGTTGGTGATACAGTGATAATGGTGGAATGTCAGTGTGTTTCCTGAGATACAGCGACCTTCTGGGTTTTCTTCCCTTTTAGATTCATAGAACCCAAGAACTGACAAGATTATTAATCACTGAGAAAAGATAAACAATACTGCTAAATTTGTCAGGTTTTTTTTTTCTTTTTCTTTTTTTTGTCCTTTCCAGTTAATGTTTTAGCCTAGTTCTTGGAAATGGAAATCTTGTCGAGGCTTTTATTTTTCTTTGAGGTGTTTATTTCTAGTGCCAAAGATAGTGCAATTCTTTCATTAAAGCTTTAAGAATATTGAGGTTCTATCAGTTTAGGACTGAGGAATCACATAGCAATGAAAGAGAAATGAAATACCAAAGGCAATGAAGAATAGGCAAATAGAGGTAGAGCTGAGAGCTAAATGTCATTTTCAAAAGAAACTTCAAGCAAATTATCTCATGCCTAGTTCAATATGTCAGCTTCCTCAGTCTGCTCAAGACATGAAGTACAGGTTGTCCACAGTTATGTGCCTTCATTAAGAATGGAATTTGTGTTAAAATCAGTGTCCTCCACCCTTCACTTGTAGGCAAGAGAAAGTGTGGGCCAGTGACTGCTTCCATGTTAACCAGAATCTTTCAGCTGGACTAGCGCCTAATTGGGAAGCCACCCCAGTACTGCCCCAGGCAGATTTTTGTACAAATGACAGAGAACAAGTTGGCTGCAGGTCAGGAATACATGGTAGGTCATGTCATTGGCAAGAACTGATCTCCTCATTCTACACGTGTGATGTAAGCTCCCTCTCAGCGGTCTTGCAGTTCTGCTCATACCTAATTCCTCCTTGTGTTAGGTTAAATGAAACCTTGTGAAAGGTTTACTTTCTCTACAAAATCTCCTACCAAGTAGCTTCAGTTTCTGCCTTCTGATCATCAAAGGTGTGCCCGGGGAAGACAATGGTCAGTTAAAATAACAGAATCGATTTCATCTTTTTTCCGAGGAGAGTTAATGGTGTCATTCAATACAGCTAGTGCCATGACAGACTTTATCATCCTTCAGAAGAGTTTCACATTTGCAACTTTGGGGGTTGGGAGAAGAGAGGAGGTAGAATAATGCTGATGGTCCTTTAAAGTGGGAGGAATTCAGACTCCTTTGGCACACTCTCTTCAAGCAACTTGTGTGGCTCAAAGACTAGGAGTAGTCCTGGGAAAATATTTAGCACCATTGAAACTCAGAACTAGTGACTGGTGGACAGTCAATCAATGCAGACATTTTTCAAGAAAAACTTCAGGTTAATAGCTGAGGCATCTATCTTTCTATTAAGGAAGTTGTTGATGACTGAAATGCATCTTTTCCTAGGCAGTCCTCCTACTTGGTTCAGATACTTAAAAGAGAAAGAAAGCATTCATGGTCAACAGACCTCCTGCCTGAGAGTCTGACTCATGGAGGGAAGCTTTTGCAAAAATTATGTATTGGTTACTTAAACCACCTTGCCTCCAAAAACATTTATTAATTGAAGAAATATGCAGCCATCATATATTTAGCAGCAGTATGATTCAAATTTTAGAAAAATTTAATGTAAAAAATTACGTATCTTCCAAATGATATGATACTGATTTGTTACATATCTAATTGTCATCTTCATCGTTATTTACTCTAAGACTTGAAACCTTTTATTTCGGGCCACTAACTACAGTGATAGTTAAAAATAAAGTTTTGTTGGTCCTCCCTGGTGTCACAACAGGTTAAAGCACAGCACTATGAAGCTATCTGCAGCTACTGCGGCATAAGGTGACCCCCATGGCGAGGCAGACTTCTGCTGACCTGCCCGCTGCTTACCTCAGTGTGTATTTCAGCACATCTGCCTATTGTGTTCCCCACTGCGTCTCTGGTGAATTACCTCACCCCCTGCACCTCTGGCCTATTCCCCAGTTCTATATGCATAAATAAATGAATCTTTTAAAAAAATAAAGTTTTGTTTACTTTAATACATATATGCAGGCAATGATTGGACTTCTCTAGCAATTTTTAGAATTATCCATATAATAAAATATTGTTGAAATTTAATTTGAAACACCTCAGAACCCCTAAATAGAACAGTGATCCCTGAATATTTCCCCTTTCCATAGAATGGAGAGAAAAACTTGTATTCTCTGGAAATCTTCATAGGCCTTCTTTTATAAAAGGATATGAACAGGACTATGGAGAGGCACATGGGTGAATTGGTGGTGGAAAGTCCACGGGGATTGCTACTGAGATGGAAAAATGCACAAAATGAAGAATGATGTAAAATAAATAAATAAATAAAAATAAAAAGGATATGACCAACCCATGAATCAGAAAGCTACACCAAATGACAGATAGTTTTGAAAAACACCCCGCTGGAAACTTTGCCAAGACTTTAGTAGGTGATGGTGGCATCCACATTCATGTGATGTAATTGCAGCTTTACCTGCAGCTACGCCTGGTGTTGTTCCCCCGGATCATCCATAGTTACTGTAATGACCAGTGAGATAAGACTGAGGCAGGAGTGGTTATGGCGCTGTAGTGGCAAGTGATTATTCCTCTGGGAAGCAATAGTGAAATTACCATAATGATGCTTCTTGATGCTCTTCCCTTTTTTTTTTTTTTAAAGATTTATTTTTATTTATTTGTGCAAACAGAACTGGGGTACAGGCCAGAGGCTCAGGGGCAGCGAGAGGCTTCACCAGAGACAGAGTGGGGTGCAGACAGGCAGATCGATGAAGCACACTGCTGAGGGGAGCAGCGGGGGGGTCAGGAGAGGTCTGCCACGCCATGTGGTCACCTCCGGGGCAGACGGGAATCGAACTCATTCGGAAGTGGCTTTAGATTCTCAGAGCTGTGCTTTAACCCGCTGCGCCACCAGGGAGGGCCGCTCTTCCCTCTTTTTAAGGCTGGAACATATTTAACAGATTTGCCAGTTGCATCAGATTTACCATTGGAGAACAGAGGCTTAAGTATTTCAAAAAGGTTTTTAGACATCACTTCTGAAATGATTTCAAATCAGTGTTTCAGATGTAAACTATTTTCCGATCTGATTTTCTCTGATGGCCCCAAATATAATGTCAGTCTCTCTCTAACATACGGGCCTCTGGGATATGTTTACAGGTGTGATTCTTTCCTCTTCATGGCATCATAGTCAATTTCAAAGGGCATTGGCTTTAAAGTAAAAAAGAAAAAAAAAAAAAACAAAGACGCTTTAAGTTCTAATGTTGCTGTGGAATTGGCTAGTAAGAGCATCATTTACTTTTTTGTTCCATATGTAACAGACAGGACATAAGCAAGCTTTGCTCTGCTCCTCAGAGATCCTTTCTCTGTGTTCGAGAGATGCTTCCCAGTTCATAAATCACTGAAAAAAGTCAATAGGAGAAAGCTGTTTTGAATAAGTTAATTCAGCATTTGAATACAAGTTTTCAAACATTTTAACCTTGGAAACGAAATCCAAGTTGTGTTTTTGGGAAAAAAAAAAGAAAAAAGAAAACCAAATTAAATCATAACATGCTCTTTTTTCTGTCCTCCCCAGGCCCACCAAGACCATCACTATGACCGATGGGGACTATGATTATCTAATCAAACTCCTGGCCCTTGGAGATTCCGGGGTGGGAAAGACGACATTTCTTTATCGTTACACAGACAATAAATTCAACCCCAAATTCATCACAACAGTAGGAATAGACTTTCGGGAAAAACGTGTGGTGAGTTTTTAATTATCCTGTCACCCTATTGCTGATACCCTCTGCTCCCAAAGGCCCCCATCAACTGAGGCCCAAGAAGCTATGTTTAGTACATTGCAAGGTGTCTGTCTTTTCTCACATTAACTTCATAACCTGTCACTTTAATTGACTTTAGACGATTGTTTCCTACTTTCTCAAAATTATAAATAACATTTTGTTTAGAAAAATATTGAGTGGCACTATCACTTGTCTCCAAAAGTATACAGAGCAACTGAAATAAATAATTTATGGGATTTTAAGTGTGTTTTCTATGAATTCTTAAAGAATCTTTCCAAACTTGATTTATGCAGGCTCTGAAAACATTAACTCTTGAGCTGAGTTAAGTTCCTCAGTAAGAACCAGGATTCATTTCCCTACTCTTAAGAAAGAGGTTAAAAGGATGATTGGCAACTAGCATGAGCATGAGCTTTGTGAGTTCTTTCTGCATTTGTATTTATGTGGAGACCCAGCCATCAATCACTGGCTCATTGTGAACAGAATGTGAGACAAATCCATGCTATTTTCCAAGATAAGGGAGTTTAAGTGAGAATCACAGCCACTTCCTTCTCCTATGCTAGACGCTAATGACAGGAATAAGGATATTGTGACATGTGGGACATGTAGCATAGGCACATAAGCTTCACCAGATTTACTGCCACCCAAGGTGCGCTTGATTGCCAAGATGCTGCGGCTTCCAGTTGATGTCACACATGTACTTCTTTCTTGAGCACTGAGGGGGCAATGGAATGGCGGCTGAGCAGTGGAATCATGGGTCCTTACCACTTCCTGTACCTTCTCTGAAAGTCAGTAGAATTTTGGTTTCGGAACTTGCTTCCTGCCCCTCCCCGAGAGTCCTGTTTTCTCCTGTGCTGCTACCGCTGTAGGTACAGAACTTTGCAAAGTTTACTTTCTAACACATTTTTACTCAGCCATATTTTGGGGAACTGATGAAATATTAAAATTGTTAATCTTTGCGTAAGCAAGTCAACGGGCCTAGTTTTAAAATGTAAACATATTTTCAGATGAGCCTTTTAAATAATGTCAGTAGAGGAAGACTTGAAATATCTGGTATAAACTTGTTGAGAAATTCTATGCATGTGTCATGGCTAAGTCACTTTGAAAGATCAAGTCGTTTTGGACAATTTTTAGATATTTATAAAGCTTTTTACTGATTAAAAAAAAAACCCACAGTCACAGTTGGTATTTCTTTTAGGTTTGTAGTAACTCCATAAGTTTGGATGAGATTATGGGTCACAATTTACAGACAAGAAGGCAAGACTTAGAGATGAAGTGAAGAGTTCTTTGAACTTAGAACTTGGGTCCTAAATCTAATGTTTGCTGCCTCCATGAGGAAATGACAGAAGGTGTCTAATTTAAGTTTGCAGTATGCCTAAATTGTGTTGAAAAATCATACTCGTACTTGACATTTAAAAGTGAGAGTATATGTGATACTTCTGGAAAAAAACAGAGCAAATATTTATTCTGCACTATGAACTTTGATTATAGTAATTGAGAAAAAAACATGCTGAGTAAACCCAGAGAATCTGAACGTTGACAAAATCCAAAGCAGTATCTGCTGATGAAAATTTTTTTATTGCAGGTTTATAACACACAGGGACCCAATGGAACTTCAGGGAAAGCATTTAAAGTACATCTTCAGCTTTGGGACACCGCAGGACAAGAGCGGTAAGAGCAGCGACTTTGTTTCTAATTATAAATAGTTTAGGAAAACTCATTTTAGGGGAGCCAATTCATGTAAATCATACAAGTTTTGAAAACCATTGTTGTCTCAACTAAATATGAATAAAAATTAAAATCCTCTAGGTATTGGTATTAAGAAATGCATTTCTCATTTAGATTTACTTACTGTTACATAAGATGGAAGGATATGATGTAAGAAATCACTGACAATAAATTGGTTACTAAAAACATTCTAAGGAAAGCAATAATAAAAACAAGAAATACTGACTTTAAAGGGAATGGTGTATGTGAACCTGAAAATCAAGCTATGTGCAACTCTTCTCCTGGTGTCCACATAGACATTGGTATTGAGAAATTAAAATAAGTTTGTTATAGTGAATTTACCTTCACTAGCATGATACAGTCAGTGCCTATTTCAAAAATCAGACTCTCAAAATTCTCTGTGAAGTTCCTCATCATGCATAATCTTTGTACTTTCTAACAAGGAAAAAATCTCCAGGATATAATCGAATCAAGGTGGGAAATGAACAGTGTTATAAGTGAACTAGAAAGGCTGTTGACTCCTTTATCTCTTTCTGTTCACCCATGCAGCATCTCTATCCCTGTCTTTTTTCTCTAAGATTTTGGTCCCGACATCACCCGTCAATCAGAATGTCTACTCTCTTCCCTCCTTCCCTGACCCTCTCCTTTTAACCACATCTGACGCCTATTTCAGCTCCTCTGTGTGGCTTTGCTGAACACCACCAGTGAAACTCCCTCTGTCTTCTGAACACTGTCACACCTCTTCCACCATCCCTTCAGTCTTTGCATTATTAGATATGACCTTGGCCTTTTTCTTTTTTCTCCAGTTGCTGTTCATTGATTCCCACAGCCTCACCACCCCCACAAAATTATCAGCTTTGTAAAAGCACAGATCTTGCCTGGTTTTTCAGAATAGTCTGTGATACTTCTGTGATACAATGTCCAAGATAAGAGAGTCTCAGGAAGCAGAGGTATGGGTGGCTTAAAGCTCATGCTGCTACCCTTGTCTGATGAAAAAAATTTCTTTGTGACCCAATGTCTTCAAGTCCTAGAGACCCCAAGCTAGTTTTCCATATTAGATTAAATAAAAATTGGCAATGTGTTGGCAGAGAAGATATTTAGAAGGCACATACCTCCAAATTCTGTAGTGCATCTTAGAAGCATGTTTATGCTTGTAAACACTTCAGTTTTTGAAATGCATCCAAAATGTTCTCGCTTTCAGTGAGTGTAAACGCCAGGAGAGGTGCCGGGCCCTCTGTTAGCTCTTTTTGACTGTGAATTCCATTTACACACACCCCTCAACACTGCTGGTTCCTCTGAAGTCATTCCTCACAAGAATCTCTGTTCAGATGTCAGTTTTGTTGTCACAAAGATGTATGTTTTATAGACCAATTTAATTCATTTTTAAAGTAATATGTGAAAATGTGATTCCCATATGTCCTCACACATGATATGTCAGCCTAGCAGGATGGCAGGCTTCTCTCATCTGTCACCTTAAGATAGCTGCTCTCAGAGGGAAACGGGGAAGACCAGGATAGTCCTAGTGACACTGAGGTTATTCATCCCTTGGGAATTTTACATGCTGCAAAGGAAAGGTGCGGCTAGGCAACAAGCTAAACAGTGCCTCACATCTCACCCTAACAGTCTGACCCATGTAAGATAAGGTTATGGAGAGAGATGGCACTGTGGTAAGGAGGGAAAAAAGTCACACCCTTGTGTAAATCTAAAGGATGCAGTGTTCTGTCTCATTTTTCAGAGAGAGAGAAAGAACGATAACATGACCCTGAAGTCTTTTTCTTTTCACTGTGGTTCTTGTTTTCCCCACCCGACTGACTCATCGGACAGCAGGTGGTGGGTGGGTGAAACCGAAGGTGGATTATCGTCCCTGAGTAAACCCTGGGAAGACTGCAGTGGACGTGGGTCTTGGTAGAATGTTCAGGGTCTGAGACTAGTCCATCACACGTTGACAGCCATACAACAAGCAAGCTTTTAAGGAACTGTCATGTGTTGTAGGCAATGAGACAGGGCTAAGACACAATCGTATTCTCAAATGAAACATGCACACATCCTTTGTGGGAGGGCAGAAAACAGTCTACTCTGGTTGAGTAGGAGGTAATTTGTAATCACTGCTAAGAGAGAGAGATAGAGAGAGAGCACCATTCAATAAAGGCACTATAATATCTGTGAACTTTCATCAACTTCTAAAAACATATCCACAAGAAAATTTTGAGTCAGTTGTTTCTAGTTCATAATCATAATAATGACGCCTTACCAAAAATCCTGGTTTGGAAATAGTCATTAAGATATCTCTTTTCTCTCCTGTGATACCCTAAGTATTGTTCTCTACTTAAGTCATTTAAATCTTTAATGATTTTATATCCTTTGTTATGCACTTTATTGCTTCCCTCAACCTGACACTTAGTAGATAAATATGATGTTCAGAGCCATGAATATATTATGGATAGCAAATTAGAAATACTGCTTCTTTCCTCTTGGAGCTTACCATCTAGGGTGGATGTCTGGACAAATAACAACAAAATACAACATAGATTTAGGAGAGTAACAGGAAACAAAGGGCCATAGGCTAATAGACCAAAAGGAGCCCAGAACCCAGATGTAGGCACCAACCACAAATATACCCTCATTACAATGCATGAACATGTGTTACACAGGCTGACAGGTAGGGTGGTAAAGGAAATGTGAAGGTGAGGTTACCCACAGAAAGAGGAAAGAGCAGCATGTGTGAAAACCCAGAAAAGAGAGTGAACTTTCTAAGAACTAAAATAGAGCATGTTGGTAGGTAGCGAAGACCTAAAGCTGGACAGATGAATCCGGGTCCATTCGTGCAGAGTCTTGATAGCTTATTGAGTCATTATCTTGAGAGCAGTGCATCATCCTTAAGATGTTTTTTGTAAAAGATATCTGCAATCAGTGGAAAGACATCTGGGGTCCCAAACAAAGCTGGAACAGGAAGTCCAATGAGGCTTTTGCAGTTGTCAAAGTAAAACACAATGTGTTCAAACTGGAGTGTGACAGGTCTGATGGGCAGCAGTGAGAAGGTCGGGAGGTATCTGTTATTTCCAGTGGGTGAAGGAGCTGGAGACTCCTCCCTGGAGGGTGGAGATGCTATTGGACGAAGAAGAAAGCAGAAGGCAGGATCAGTTTGGTTTGGGACATGTAAAGTTAAATGTGCCCTCATTTTCTCCAATTGGAAATTATCAGTGACTAGTTGTCTACACAGTGTGAAGGGCAGGAAAGGTCTAGACCAATACATTTTAGTTTCTTTACATATAGGTAATAATTGAGCCAGAGAAGACGTGGGTGAAACTCTCCAGTGAATCCATATAAAGTGATAAAGAGTGCAGGATAGAACACGAAGAACACCAAAGGATTTACAAATAAAATAGAAAAGGTAGAAGAACTTTTAGGACTGTAAGTGAATTCATTCTGTTTCAAAGTTATATGCCTTTCAAAAAACCCTTGCTGAAATTGCTGCTTTCTCTTTCTAACCCAAACCTTCTCTGGTCCTTGGATGTGGTCTCTGATTTCACTGATTGCTGACATTGAAGTGGATCCAAGTATATCTTCAACTCAAAGAAGATGTGGGGGTGAAAGGGGGTAGGAACAGGGGAGCTAAAGTCTTCATATTACACGTGACAGTGTATATATTCAAAGTCACTAATGAGATGAGTGTTCTTGCTTCCCCTCCTCAACGACTTCTTCTCTCTCACCTTCTCTGTTCCTTTAATCATTTTCCTTTCTTCAGTGTCATTCCCCTCCCTCCTGAGACATAGATGGCTAAACTTCAGCTTTCCTCCTCAAAAAGCGATTACTAAAGAGTTTTCTCACCAACATTGTTTTTCCTAATTCCAGCTGCCAACAAATTGTGGGGTTTTTTTTTGCCTGTAATCACAGGCATTCATTTTCAGACCACATATGCCAAGCTTTCTTCTGAACCCAGACAAGGAAGATTGAAAAATATGAGTGAAAGTGCGCATTCTAAAGTGGTTTACATTTTTACTGTGGACCACAAGATGCCTACAAACTAGCAAGAGAAAGAGGCTGTGTGAGCAAGTATGTGATTGAATTACAAATTCTGTGTGTAACTGCTATAGACATGAAGCCAGGATGTGGCTTAAAAAAAGTCTAAAACCACATGTCCCCCCATGACCCCTCAGCAGAATTTCTGCCCACTTTCCCATTCCATGGAATGGTCCTCATGGGATGTCATCGCACTTCATGTTTGAGAAGGAGACCGTGTTCGCGTCATCATCATCCTATGTACAGCAAGTAACTTTCAGGACTGTCTACTGTGCTTTCTCGGCAGGTTCCGCAGCCTCACCACCGCATTTTTCAGAGACGCCATGGGTTTCTTACTAATGTTTGACCTCACCAGTCAACAGAGCTTCTTAAATGTCAGAAACTGGATGAGTAAGTAGCCACAAATAATTGTGTTGACAATTTTAAAACCCAGCCGCTCTCTGGTTGTTTGCTTCACAAGATGAAACCAGATTGAGCACCACAGATTCACCTTGGGAAGTCATGAGTTTTGTGTTTCCTATGTCACCTTTAAAGCAGAGGCTTTATGTGGATTACTGAAGATGGCTTGAAAATGTGCCTTCCTCCGAGAGGCTTACAAGAAAGCCTATGTTACTTCATTATCACCTCAGTTACAGGTCTTTATTATTGCCATGGGAAGGCCATTAATGCTACTTGTACAGTAAGTCTTCAATGACTTTTCAAAACTGAGCACAACTACTAAATTTAATCTGAAAAAGACAAAGAGAAAAAAATGCCATGCTTTCCAAGAGGATACACTGGAAACTAAAATATGTGCCCTTGCACATGGGTTTACTAATTGTTAATTTTATCTAGTGGATTAGTAAGAAAATACTGCAGAGCAAACCAGCCATATAAAGTATAATGTCAGTCGGCTCAAATTAAATTTTTAACTTAAAAAATCTGTTTAAATACAAGGAGGCTTTTTCTGGAGACATCTCCAGCCTGCATGGCAATTTAAACATGGCAATTTAAGCATAAAGTTTAAACACAGTGTAATCATTTATTAAACTCAAATTATTATATGTCATCATCGAAATATTTGACTTTTTCTTTTTTTTAAAATTGATGTAACATTAAAAAGAATTTTTCATTTGCATTTTCATTACAAATACACGTTTTGATGCTAGTGGAACATAATAGCCCTCTAAGAGGTTGGTGCTAACTCTGTCATTTCTAGGCTTGTTGGGGCTGAATGTGGTTAGAGTGATTTCCTTTCAATGGAATCAACTTGTTTGTCTGTTCGAAGTCCTGTTGGAAGTAACAATCTCACTTGTACTAAAACCTAGAGTCCTTTACCTACCTTCCACACCACTGTGACAGCCAGGCTCCTCAGGTTCCCTAACTCTCTCTTCATTTGTACTGTTCACTGGAGGGAAACTACATTTGTGCATTGGGGACTTTGCATCTCTGACCCCTTCTGCCTTGATTCCTCATCTCCTGGTGATTTTGACTCTTTCCACCACTAGAATGTAATTTCTGTGGAAGTGCAAACTTGCTCTGTCCCACTGTAGTTGCCTAGAGCATGGATGGGTGACGAGCTCAAAGCAAATGCTCAAAATACATATTTCTTATTACTAGGGATCATTTATAATTATAGTTATAAATTTACATTGTACACACAAATATATGTGATATATAATTATATATTACCACACATATTAATAATGATGTATAATATGTAATTATATAATGTGTGTTTATATACATGTATATATAATTGTTTTAAATATGAGCTCTATACAGTTGTCACCAACAAGGAAAATATCAACAAATTCTGATTTCCTTAATAACGTTTCCCAATGAATGTTTATTCTAGGATCTGTCTCTATTTTCTTTTATTATTACATTTCTTTATCCAAATTTTGGTGGTGTTATTAGATTCTAAAGAGATAATAAGATTATTAGATTCCTTCAGAGAATAATTTGCTCATCCTTTTTAAGGCAAATGACTTTAAAAATTTGCAGAAGAATCCTGTTGGGGATTTAAGTTCATTAATTTCCACATCTAGTAAGATTTTAATTTCTAAATCCAAATGTAAATATGTCCTGTAACAATAGGATAATCCTTTGTCTCCTTCCTCCAGCCTTAGCAAGGTTGCGCTTATTATAACTGAGCTAGCTGTTAACGGAGTCCTGGTAACCTTAAAAACACAACTGAAGTTTCCCTGCTATTTGCTCCCTTCCCAGTTCCCCTTCTTCTCTTCCATATTCCTTCCTTCTCCGCCCCCCTCCTTTTTTTCCTTCCTTCCTCTCACTCTCTCTTCTTCCTTTTTCCCACTTTCATCCTTTTCTTTTGAAAGGTGTTTTTTGGGAAAGGAGAAAAAAAATAAGTTACCTATCTCAAAGTTATTTCTGTATGAAATTGGATTCAGATAGATACATAAAATTGTCATGATTCAAAAATATTATGCATCTGGATTTCAGGAGGTGGAAGCACAGCAACCTCCTGGAAGAAAGAATGTATTTCATGCTTTAACTCATGTTGTTATCACCACTTATATTTGAGAGACAGCTAGTATGAAGCAGTATGTCCACCTCAGAGTTTCCCCAGAGGTAGAAGAGCAAGGAAAGGTGTTTATGAGGGTGCTGCCTATAAGGTATCATTAACCTGCACATTCTATATTTTGTGAGGCATTGTTTCTACTTTACAGATGAGGAAACTGTGGCTCAGAAGAGTTAAGTAAATTGGCAAATGAAACAACTGCTTGCCAAGCTGGAGGTGAACAGTTAGCTCAGGAATCTGAAGTATGAGCAATCATGGAACATCACTTGTTTATAACTCACTTGCTGATTCCATCTGCTTTCTTTCCAAGGCCAACTGCAAGCAAATGCTTATTGTGAAAATCCAGACATCGTATTAGTTGGCAACAAGGCCGACCTGCCAGACCAGAGGGAAGTCAACGAAAGGCAAGCCCGAGACCTGGCTGACAAATATGGGTAAGTCAGTTACTTGGTACTGACTTCTGACCTTGTGCCCTGCTACTTAGTGATAAAGCAGGGACACCAGGTTGGTGTCTGGATTTCCTTGAGTCTCAGCCATGTGGGGGTGAAAAACAGCTTTCAAAGGAACATGTGTAATATCTTTAAGAAAGCACATAATGTGGCCTCCCTGGTGGCACAGCAGGTTACAACACAGCACTGAGAAGCTAAAGCCAATCAGCATGAGTTCAATCCCTGCCCCAGAGGTGACCCATATGGTGCAGCAGACCTCTCCTGACCCGCCCACTGCTCCCCTCAGCAGTGTGCTTCATCAGTCGGCCTGTTCTGCTCCCCACTCTGTCTCTGGTGGGTCCTCTTACCCTCTGCAACTCTGGCCTGTACCCCAGTTCTGTATGCATAAATAACTACATCTTTTTAAAAAATGGGGAGGGGGGATGTGCACGGGACCATGATGATGGCACACAGGTGAATTGGTGGTGGGAAGCCCACTGGGATTACAGCTGAGATGGAAAAAGGCACAAAATGATATAAAAATAAACTATTACATTATTTTTTAAAAAGCAAGACAATCTATGCTAAAAAAGAAAGAAAGAAAGCTCATAAATGATAATAGCAGGTAACAATTATTGAATAACTTAAAAGGGCAAACAACTGCTCTGGACTTTAACTCATTTAACCCCCCCATAACTATGCTTAAGAGGCTGTAGTTACCCAGTTTTACATATGAGGGGTTGGGGCACAGAAAGGTTCAGTAACTGATGAGAAGCCACATAGCTAATAATATCAGCTCTTGACTTCAACGCAGTCAGATAAATTCTTAGTTCATGTTCTTTGACACTACATTCTCCTGACTCGTAGTAGCTGCAACCCTCAAAGGAATGCTATCTGGCATGAACATGCGTTGTCACTCTCATCCCAGTTTAAGTGTAGATTAAATAAAATTTTAAACACCTTATGCAATTGTAAAGTTGGCTACCACAGCAAAGTTTGTCTTTTTTTTTTTTTTTAAGATTTATTTATTCATACAGAATTGGAGTACAGGCCAGAGATGCAGAGAGTGAGAGGATTCACCAGGGACAGAGTGGGGAGCAGAAGAGGCAGATCGACGAAGTACACTGCTGAGGGGAGCAGCGGGCGGGTCAGGAGAGGTCTGCCGTGCCATGTGAATCTCCTCCGCGGCAGGCAGGGATCGGACTCATGCGGAAGTGGCTTTAGCTTCTTAGTGCTGTGCTTTAACCCGCTGCGCCACCAGGGAGGGCCCCAAAGTTTGTCATTTTTAAATTTGAAGAGGTTTCAGAATATCTGCCAATATTTTACTAAAGAATTCTCTAAGATCTTTAAAAATATGCTTTTTTTTTTTTCTGGGAACTTTTGATTCCAAATAATAGACTGTGCTTACATGAATACTCTGTTCAGTTCCTGCTGAGTTTGTAAATCAGATTTCTAGATAATTGATTAGAAGGGAAAGAATATTTTAATAGAATATTGATTATTCAGTTAGGCATTTTTTACTCTCAAAATTCAGAAAGATAATCCTTGGCTTCAATTTCTTGATGACCTCCTATATGAGTTTCCTTCCCTATAAAACTAAAAGAGTATTTTAGCACAAATATGAAAGAGCAGACCCCCAGGTTTTACACAAAGAGAAAAAACAGCTGACAACATCCTGAGCATCGTTCAGCAGTCAAGTTTTATGTGTGACTCCTTTGTACATCTTGTGTTTTTTCCTGATTTCTTCCTGTCAATAATATTTGTCTCCTCTTCTATGCTAGCATTCCGTATTTTGAAACAAGTGCAGCCACTGGCCAGAATGTAGAGAAAGCTGTGGAAACCCTTCTGGACTTAATAATGAAGCGAATGGAACAATGTGTAGAGAAGACACAAGTCCCCGACACTGTCAATGGAGGAAATTCTGGAAAGCTGGATGGGGAAAAGCCAGCTGAGAAGAAATGTGCTTGTTAGGCTCTCCTCAGAAGGTGGTCATCAAGCACCCCACACAAATAACACTGCCCCAGACAGCGACGGACCACTGATTGTTGTTGAGTATACCATATATAATGACATGTCTGTCTTTTTCTGCCAGAAAATTCTCCTTTAAGAAACCAGATTAATTAACAGTGTTCAAAAGAATGACCAGTAATTTTCCAGTTATCTGTGAGGTCCCTTCAAAACAAGAGCAAAGATTTCCTAATGTGATCGACCCATCATGGACACCCAATTTGTTTTTCTTAAAAAGAAAATGTGTAGATAAAAGGATCTACAAAAAGGAAGGTCAGGGAGTTTTGAATCAGAACAAAAATTCCTGTGTCACATTGGGAAGTGGGATAGGCTACTAAAGGAAGAACATAGAAGGAAAAGTTAAAAAAAGATTATGATATGCTTGTTATATAGATTCTGATTTGTAGTTTTGGGTTTGCTTCGGGGAGAGGAAAACACATTAGCCAAAAATGGATGTACAGTAAAGACTTCTTAATGATTCATTAAGAATGGCATTACTGTGTATATCCAATAAGCTGAATGACTAAATATTACTGAAAGTTAGGAGAGATTGAATGTAAGACTTCTGCTGAAATGTAGGCAATTGTGTCACCATGCCATTTTGTATTCTTAGTAAATGACAGGTAGGTATGCACAGCACTGTAAATGACAAAGTACCAGAATCATGCCTGGAAAAAAAAGTAAAAGTATGAGATATGGCACTTGGACAACTGAAATAAATACATCTGTTACTGGCGTCTAGAAGAGTTACTTGGTCAAATTTCACACAGGACAATTAAAAGTTGACCAGTTTGGCTGAAGAGGCTCTCCAGTGGTTTCCATTTCTAACAAAATATAGACGTGGTTCTGTGTTCAGGTTCACATTTCATTTTAGTCTTAGCAAAGGTGAAAGTCAGAAGGAAATATGTGATTATTTTACTAAATATCTCTTTAAATGCAGTCAAGAAAAATTGTTTAGCCTTAAATTTTTTTTAGAAAAATACGTTGGTGATATCCCACAAAGAGTGACTATTAATTTGGGGCTCTTTCCATCCACACAAATATTGGATGCTCATTACCACATTTCTCCTATCCATCCACACTCACCATGCCTTTGAATCAATTGTAAAAATACAGATGTGTCACGTGTAGATCAACAACTTTAGAATAATGATGGATCAATTTTATGATCACTCTGGATTTTCATGTCATGAATTATATAAAAATGGATGGTATCTCATGCTGTATTACAATCTATTTAGCAATTCTTTTTATTTTGCCTGGATTATACTTGGGATTTGGGCAGAAATGGAACTATCTATCTTATCACACCAAAAATTTAGTCATTTTATTTTTTTACAGAAAGTTGCCTTTCTAAAAATGATCACAAAGTGTTTTGCATTGGCCTCTTCTTCCTGTCTAAATTTATATCACATTAGATTTTTATTTTAGTTTCTCATTAAAAGATGCTATTTCTAATAAACTATTATTTAAATATGTTAGTCAACTTGATCAATAACAAAGGTATTGTCTGTTAAATTTCCTGGTATTGTTATGAGTATATGATATTTCAACAGGAGAGTTCTTCCTATGAAATTTTGCCAACTAAGCTTCACTTTTCCATGCTCTGGGCTTATCATCATTTTTTAAACATTGGAAACCCTCAATCCTGAAACCTCTTCAAAAATCCCCCTGCAACTTTCCATCTGGCATTGAATTAATTTTAGGAGCACAGATCCTAGGAATTCTCTTTATATAATGTTCTGGATGGACCAGACTGAGAAATGTACCATGAATCAAAGCAATTTGGAGCTCGGAGGGGGTTAAGCCATGGTGAGGCTCCCAGTGTTAAGTGCCCAGTTCCTGTGTCCCTGGTGAAATACCACACCTGAGATGGATGGAGGTTGATATTCCCTGTAATGCTATTTCCTCCTTGTAGTTCGGCCTGACCTCTGTGCCTAACCCATGGGGATACAACGTGATTAGCTAAGATTAACAATGTTTCTTCTAGAAGAAAAGCAAGCAGAAATGATATGGCCATTGCTGTGGCCAAATCTGGTGAACATTGATAACCATTACATCAGTTTCTATAGATTCACATGTTGGTGTTCCCTGCATCTCCATAGCCGCGAATGCTGGCATTTATAGAATCCTAAAGGTATTCTATATTGGATATTGTTTTCGTTTCTGTTCATTTTCCAGTTATGTGATTGATTGATGCCAAGATTCTGTCATTGTCAGTTCCCTAACCAGCATTTATTCAGGGCCTATGTGAAGATTGTTATTGGACCATGTGGCATGAAGCAGAGGGGATTGATGCTCACAACTACAGAAAATGCCTATAAAAATAATGCTAATGGTCTCAAGAAGAATAAAGTTTAAAACAGACAAGAAGTTTAAAACTGTGTTTCTCATTGACATTTTTTTCTTTGCAGCTTTCCTGACACTAATGATACCTCTAGGGGAAAAAAAAATCTACTGATGAATAAATATTTGATCTAAAAAACATTTTTCCCCAGGCAGGCTTGATCTTTGACCCAAATTATATGTAACCATCACTGGAAATTCCCTCTCTCCTTTTTCAGAATTCATTTTTCTGTGTAATTCACTTTATAATCATTATAAAGAATTGCAGATTCCCCTTTAATGAACAATAGCAGGTTTTTAACCAAGATATGCCCTGTAACTCATAACCTCCCAAATGCTCTAGTAAACACTGTTGTATTTTGGAAAAATAGTTATTTCTCTAAAAATATTTATTTGGAGAAATACTTAAAATGTACAGGAAATTCCTTTCTGAACGTTTAACTATTTCTGGAGTGTTTACACTGGTTTAATGTTTACATTGCTCCAACATGGTGCCTCAGCTACTTCTGTGACCAAACTGATCACCAAACATAGTTTGTTTCCTAGATTGTCACATTATAGGAAAGTTTTGCAAAGAAGCCACCTCAGCTAAGGTCTTTTGGTGTCTCCAGCAAAGGAGACCATTTCCTGGTCTCCTAACTCACTTCATGGAATGGGCATTATTTGAAACACTTAACTGTGATTAGATACAAGGTGACCTTTTAATGTAAAATATATATGTAAGAAAAAAATCTTTAAAAATATATCAATATTGACAAGAGACCACAATGTTTATCTTCATATCATGAGGGTAACAAGTCATGTATTGGCAGAGAGAATGCTAAATTCTGGGAATTGAGCATGTGGGTCTCCAGATAAGGGGTTTTAAAACTCTTGCAAGTCATCAATCAGCCAACTTACTATCAATTTCATACTATGAGCAAAAAAAAAAAAAAAAAAAAAATCAAAACCAGCATTTTCTAAAGTAAGTAGCTTACTTGTTTTGTTTTAGTTTTTTAAAGCCACATGGGCTGTTCTATGTATCAGAGGTCTTTTTGTGTTGTTTTTAGTACAAGTTATTCTTTGCCAACTCTACTAGTAGGATGAGCTGGGTGAACTCTTTACATTATAGAGAGAAGAGCTTGACCTAAAGAAAGATATGACTGCATTTTTTTTTAAAAAAAGCCAAAATTTCCTTAAACTGTAGATGGGTTCCCTGGAATCAACAAATTTGGTGATGGGACAATGAGAAAGGATCACAATTAGAAAGAAAAGCATTACGTGTATAGATTCAATGACTCACTAGGTTTGCAAACTAGAACCTTACGTCCATAAAGAAGATTGTTTATTGTTCTGTTGCTTTTTTTTTTTTTTTTTAAGGGCCCATCTGCTTTCTTTATTGCATATCACACTGATACTTTGAGGGAAATTTTTCATTGTAAAGTATTTTGTTTGGAGTTAGAGTCTAAAACCCAAGCTGTCAGGAATAATACCAAAATTTCTGTTTTCCTTAAATACTTTTTCAGTGGAAGGTCTACAAGCTGACAGCCAAATTGATAGAAAAGTTGTCTTTCACCAATGACTACCATGTTACAAAGAATTAAAAGATGTCTGGTATAATTGCATGTCTAGGGAAAACAATTACTTTAAAATATGCCGAGATACTGTATATTTTGAAAAGGTTGTCTAAAAATTCACCAGAAGTTATATATACTTTTTCTTAATCTTTGAGTGGGTATAGACTGATTTCTGGGGATACTGCTAAGTTTTTAAATATGGAAATAGATATAAAGTATTACGTGCGATGAGTGTTATCTCAAAGCTTTATAAACCCACTTAAATATAAAATTTGAAAAAGTAAATCTGAGAAAAACTGTTGTTGGATAAATAGGGAATTTTATAAACTTACTACCTTGGAATTTGGGGTGGAAACTCAACCATGAAGACATTGTTGAGCAAAAATTACAAAGAAAAATAAGAGTTAAAATTTGGCTAAATAGAGTTCTTAAATGTCCTCCGGAATATGGAAAAGGCAGATTCTTAGTATGAAAAGAAAGAAAAGAATGCGTAACAGAAAACATTTTTCTAACTAGGTCCATAGTAAATATTTATCTACAAGGTAGAGGTTTCTGCCCTTAAAATTAAGGTGGTAAAAAAATTGAACACCAAATATTTAATTATTGGTGTCAAAATTTTAGAAGCTCAGAAACATTTTGTTTATTCCATTAAATTAAATTTTCTTGTAAATTCCTCTTTAATTTTTCAAGGAGTAACATCTCCAAGATTTTTCTGCAGAGTTCTTTTTACCAACATTCTATTGTTGAGATATCTTCTAAATTCACATATGAAAAGAACAATAGACCACTCATGGGGGAGGGGGTGGGGACTAGACAAAGGAGTCATCTTTGAATAGAATCATTTACATTTGTTCTAGTTTTTTTCCTTCCAACAGGTCATGAAAGTAGTAGTTAATATCCCCCAGTGACAATCTTCCAGAATCATCTGCAAATTCTATGGGAGCCAGAATGTCTATCCTTAACCTAATGGTCCCCTTATTTAACCAGCGCCCATTCTTATGTCTGCTGGCACATAAATATTGTCTGTCCTTGCAAAGTAAGAACATACACTTATCCATATTCTTTCATTCTCTAGGTTAATTTTTGCAAATGTCTTTTGAGAAGAAGCCTAAAACTGTAAAAAGAGCAATTTAGATGTACCATTAAATTTGTGGCCTCTCACAGGGAACTCATAACCCCCCTGGAAAACATCCCTGTTGATAACACACCTTAGAGGATCATGCCTGGCTCAAAGAACATGCACAAGAAATTGGTTTGTCAGTGATATATTCCAGTTCATAAATAGACACACTACTCTCACAAGCTAAGTAATAAAAAGCACAGTGCTAATTTAAAGCTCATGCTAATAGAGGTATTTGAAGATCTAAACAGTAGTCAACTTGAGGTCATTGTGATTGGTTGAAAATGCTCAATATATTTCAAGTTACTGAGAAAAAATGAGTTCTATTTCACTTGTATGTTGCCTTGTATTTCGAGGAATCTAATTACATGTTAGGCAGTCTATTACAACTTGGTCAAAATTCTATTTGTACATGCAGGGCTGTAACCATGGCCTTGTAAAAGATCTGAAATTATTTAAGAAAAGTTATTCTGTTTATGTGTCAAAGGTAGGCAGTATTCTGACACTGAAGTGCTTCATTGTATCCCAGCAGTCTACCATTAAGTGATATTATCCTTGTTTCTAGGCTAAGCATGCTTGATTGTTTTGTCTGTCATCTACACAGATCTCTGTTTTGTCTAGTGCTATGAACGTAACTTAAAACTTCAAACATGGAGTT